AAGGGGACGTGTCCTTTGAATACGTGGTAAGTCCGGCATTACGGCGATCAGCATCGTATCGTATCGTATCCACCTCATGTACGTCAATGTTGAGTCAAGGCAAGAACCAGATGGCAACGCAAAACTTCTCCGTCTCCATGATGGGGTTCTAGGCACCCACGCTCTAGACTTTAAGTGAAAGGTGCGTCATATATTGGTACCATCTTACCCATTCACACCTATATGTACACGTATGTTTCTAAGCATATTAATTACTCATGAGCCAGCCATGGCTCCTAGAGAGAAACACAAGTCATAGATAACGAGGTCGTCTTTAACTCAAGTGGTGTATTGTTAGATAGATGATAACACTTAACTAATACTATTTATGAATTTATAATGTTTACCTTGCTGCATTTGAGACTCCTGTGATACTTAAGGTTCATATTCTCTTTACGCGCCATCAATGTGGGCGGGTTTTCTAGTTTAGTCGAAGTCGTCTTAACATGTTGAATGCTTATACTTGAGAAGGCTCACCTTTCCCTAGATGAGAGGTGGTCTAAATAGTAATGGACCTTTTGCTTTACATCTTCGTATCTCTGTTGTGTTTTCTAACTCAAGCGTGGCAACTTAATGAGAGGTTCCAGGCATGCTCATATGCTGTTTAAGTCAACTTGAGTCTCCCACGCGCTATATGAGATATTGGTAAAAGTGACTTTCTTGAACGTAATGTTTCTTCGACGAATAACCCTGCCGTCGTTAACGGCTCGTATGGGTATGGTATTATATATTTGTATGAGGTATCTTATGATAATTGAACTCGTTGGCAAGTGACAGGTTGTCTATTTCTTTACTCGCGCCCCTTTACTTATACTCATAGCACCTACATCTTATACCGAGTACGTGGTAGATATCGCCTCAGAGTGATGTATTCTACGTCCTAACTTTTACTATCTGAAGAGATGTTAAACCACCTGAGTTATGTCGAGAGCCCCTTTATGGATATCTATCAATATGAGTAACTTATTCGTCTATGCTAGCGAGTTCTAAAGAAAAGTTTGATAGCCCACTCCAACCGGTTCAACTTCATCGCGGTGCTAATGGTTATGTAAACTTCGGGAGGTGACAAGTAGTAAGTGATGAGGTAAACACGACGAGTCCTTCGCTAAGATGTTCAAAGATAGACATAACTGCTCGATGAGAGGATAATAAGAGAAGTAAACACTAATTTTCGTGTCCTAAACGATAGTATACCCCTTTAACGTATCCCCTCGATTAGATAAAACTCAGCGTTACAGGCTAACATCTAGCATTGTCAAACACCTATCTAGTTGTTTTGTAATGACTGAATAGTACACACTTAACGGTATATGCTTACCAAGGATTCAAAAGACAGCTGCTAAACTCTCTCTAGGACCTCTATCCTGAGCTAGGTGGCCGGGGCTAAGCAATTGGCAGTACACCACCTGGCGAGATATCGAGGGAGAAGGATAGGAGTAAGTGTGGTGTAATATAGAAAGTATTACTATCTACGGTATAAGTCTAGTCGCCTATAGTTCTATACACTATCCTAAGATACCATTTAAGACACGAGACGTCTAATAGATCTGTATATACACTCTTTGAATTGAGGTAGTCATGCTAATCAGTAGGATATCCATCCTAGGCACCTATGTTAAGTCTAAATACCCATAGAGGTCTTATTTAAATCCTATAACTACCTACTCACCTTAAATACCTAGTTACGGCTCTGTGCACATCATGCAACTACATCCCCAAGGTCTCATATCATATTCCCGAGTAAGCCGTACCCAAAGCACGTTAGATAGCTCTGAGCTCAATGCTGACAAAGAATTACTGATATGTTTATCATAAGAGCGAAGCACATAGGAACTCGGTAGGATCGCCGGCATCTCGATAAGAGGTCTCCTATCTTCTGCCCGCGGGCTCGTGGGGATTGTCTAAGTAAGCGACCGAGTAAGAATTTTACCTCACGTATAAACTATTTTGCCCTGTAGAACATAACATAACTTAACTGATACGAATACATACACCCCCGAGCCGGCTCGGAACCGTAACTCGGCCCTCATTACTATAATCGAATAAACAGCCGAATTAATCCAACGCCATAGTCCCACAAGCGTCCAAGTACGCAGTAAGTACCCGCCCGCTCTTACCACACTCGGCCGAGTCCGGGTCCGTCGCGACTACGGACGGAACAGGTTCCGATCCGGTGAGAAGGCGCATCATCGTGCGGGTCTCGACAACACCGGACCGGTAGGGCTCGCAAGTAGGCCGTCGGATAGGTACCTACCTGAGTCCTACATATGCAGGACTTTTATTTTATTTTATACACCCGTTAATTAATCAAGCAATCAATATAACAACAGTCAATGCATATACAGTCCTAGCCTAGGTAGGTAAGTTCTAGGTCAAGTTAACTACCTGTTATATTATCTTCCCCGTAGCTAGCCAAATCTAAACTGACATAAAAAGATTTCCCTCCTGTACGCCAACGCACGCGCGGATTGCTTTATTAATCCTCATCACATTTCTGATCGTAGCGCATCGCATTATCACATCGCACTAACTCAGCCTTTTTTTCACTTTTAGCCTCTCTTCCCCGTCCCTTTCCACCCTTGGGCATTCTAACCCAGCCCCAGCCCCAGACCAGCCCAGCTAAACATAGCCTAACACTAAATTGCTTGCGCCTAGGCGTCGCACAAGCTGCCGTGCATGAAGAAGAGCGGGAAGGAACCGCAGTCCACGTTGTCGAAACCGGTTTGTTCGCGTGAGCTTTGTCCACTTACCTCTTACTTACCTTAGTTACTATTACTATGACAGCTATAGCAGTAGGTAGCTAAGCTAAGCTAAGCTATCTTACCTACATGAGAGAGGTAAGCTACGTAAACAAGAAGGGTCGCACAGAAAGGGTAAGCGGCTACTCACACACTTAATCAACGTAGGTCTAGACTTCGCTCGGTCCCCGCCAGGTTCCTGCAATGAATACCAATCTAAGGTACCTGGTAGGCACATGCAACTCGCGTATATATCTACAAGTATTGGACGACCTAGCAAGAGGTAGGTAAGCAACCTACCTACATACCTACCTACCTAAGTACCTAACCCAAACACCCAAGTAAGCGAGACCGAAGCCAATCCCATCTTTCTTCTCTATTTAGGTATTTATTTAGAGTGATGCTAATTGTAGATTACCATGCCAGCCCTTCCACGTAGATTACCCCACAGAACAAGTGTATGCACTTGGCCACTAAAATTACTAGTAAAATGACATGGCCACTTTCTGCTTTATAACTTTTTTAAAACACAGCCGATACATATTAATTTTGACGTTAAAAGAATTATATTAATAATATTTATTTTTAATAATATAATTAATGTAATTAATATAATTGATTTAATTAATTTAATTAATTTAATTAATTTAATTAATCGTAAAAATGTTTTATAAATTATTTAATTAAATCCGTTAAATTTAATTAATAATTTACTTTAAATATTTATTTATTTTTTATTACTTTTTAATATTTTAATTAAAACACGGTATTATTATATAATTATAATATTATTAAATTGGTTTTTTTAAATTAATTTAATTTATATAAATAATTACTGTTAAATACGTTATTATGGTTAAAAAATATAAAATAAATATTATTATTTATAAATTAATTAATTTTATTTATAAATTACATGTTATTATTTATAAATTACATTTTTTTTATTTATAAATTACTTTTATAATAATTTAATTACATGCGGTTACATTTTAATAAAATAAATATTAATTAATTAATTTTAATTATACAACTTTAAATATTTAAAAATATTTTAATATTTATTATTTTTATAAACAAATCTAAATTTCTATAAGATCGGTAAGGCAAAAAGTGGCCATGTCATTTTACTAGTAATTTTGGTGGCCAGGTGCATGCACTTGTTCTGTGGGGTAATCTACGTGGAAAGAAATTTTGGTAATCTACAATTAGCATCACTCTTTATTTATTGGCCCGCGCCCACGCGGCAGGCAGGCAGGCAATAAACACAACACTATGTAGGTAGGTACCTATCTATATACGGACAAAAAACAAATAAAAAAAACAAAGCGGCTTGCGATCCGAATGTGGATATAAGCCGCGAGCCGAACCCGAGCAAAGAATGGTCGGGCGGGGGAAAGAAAAAAGACCCCTTGCTGAGGAACATACCTACATAGGTACACATCTGACCCAATCGAAAGAAGGAAAAAAGAGCCCCGGCCACGTGCGGACGGCCAATGGCCACTGGCCACTCACCGTCGAGGAATGATATACTTACGTATATATTGAGGTGGGGATGAATATACATACCATTGTAACTATTGTACCTATTGTGCGGAATACTTCCATGCTCTGCTGCGCGCGGCCGATATGTAGGTAGACATCTGAAAGGACGCCGAGGTATTTTTTTCTCGATTCTAGGGTCTATCTAAAGAAATCTCTCTCTTCTTACCGGACACACTCGCACAGACACGCAAAGTACACCGAAGTACTCTACTCTCTTCTACATAGAAAATGTCTCGTACGTAAGACACGGCGCAACTACTTCTGTCATACAGTCGTATTGCCCCGCGAGCAGAGGCGCACTGTTTACCTCTACCTATCTACCCAGTTACCTAACCTAACCTACATCTCCTCGTAAGGCGACTGGCCGGCACAGTAGCGTGCGCACATGGCCCCCTATCGTGATTCGCGCAGGTATCCTGCTCCTACCAAGATAAGCTCGTGGAGTCCCATGTGTGCTAGGTACCTTAGCTATGCACATAGAAACCCCTGTCTGTCTGCTTTCCTACTCGCTACTCCACGACCAGTTGTCGTCGTCGTTCGACTCATCTGACCGCCGCTCACCGGCATCAAATGTCGTTTCTTATTTACTTTTTCGGCCAGTACTCCGTACCCTATCCACGCACCCATCTCGCAACCACGCTTCCTCGGCCTTGCTAAGGTAGGCAGGTAGGTAGGTAGGTAGGTGGGTAGGTAGGTAGGTAGGTAGGTAGGTAGGTAGGTATCTAGATACATTGCTGAGATACCTATGTACATTGCTGACCATACTAACCGAGCTGACGGGCGACGCGGGTAGCGGGATGGCGTCAATATTTATTCGAGGCACGCCTATCCGATCATCTATCTGGTACCCCGTGACAGATTGCACTGTGGTAAGGCGAGCCAGGCAATGTACTAACTAATCGCCCTTGCAATTGCAATCGTGAAGATCGCCGCTAACGGATATTTCAAAACATGCTGACGACAGCGAGCCGTCCAAGCCAAAACCATGGCTGTGATTTAGCGTAGGTACAACGGAAAGCCGCCGAGCCATCTGAAGCAAAAGCCAGGACTGATATACCGAGGATTGCGATATCACTTTTTGATGAGTTTATATTTACCCCCCACAATTTCGAGCTCGCCGTCAGCTATCTTCTCCCCGAGGAATTCTTGCAGCTCCTCGTTGCTCCACGGAAACCCGTCCGCGATCAGCATTTTCATCATCATGGAGATCTGTCCGAGAGGCATGGCGGGGCTGGAGTTCGTCAGCATACCCGTGATGAACTGCCAGTAAACTTGTCGCTTTTCCTTCTCCTTCTCGCTCATTCCGGCCTTGGCCTTACGGGGCGTCGCTGGTCCTACATCAACAGCACCAGGGTTTGGCACATGTGCCGCCTGGAGTGACGAAGGCTGCTCAGCATCTGAAAGGCGTTCGATAACGACGTATGTATTGTCTGGGAGCCTACGAAGCACTTGCTTCTTCTCCCAAAAATTAAGTGCTGCCGTGAGAAGGTCTTCGTCCATCTCAAGCTTCATCCATAGATCGTCAAAAGTCCAGCTAGAAGAGTTTTCCTCGCTGAAGGCGTTGATGACGGCTGCTTCGTACGTATGAACTTTTTCCGAAATTGTCCGGTCTTCGAGCTCTAGTTCCACTGTCGCCTGGCCGAGATGATTAAGCCACTTAATCTTACGCGATGGTTTTACATGTTCGAAAATAGTTTCGTACATTTTCTGCATTTCCGTGACGCTAGAAGGTAACACGAAGCGCTCTTCCCCGACTTCAGGCCAGTAAAGCCGCGATAAGATCCGTGCATGGATCGTCCAATCTCGATTCGCATTATCTGGGTGGTTGACCGCTCCGCGGTGGATGACACCATCAAGTCGTGCTGAGTCTTGAATATCCTTGATCATCACATCGCAGGCTTGTAACGAGGACTCTCCGAAGCGCTTTTTTAGTAAGTCAAGCACGCCTACCTCTTGCTTGAACCCTGTCTGCTTAGATAGCAGCCTCTCGCCTATTATGCTTTGGAATTCTTTGATAAACACTTCCGGTGAGCCAAGGGCGCCAATAAGTGTACCGATAACATCCTCGGATTTCTGTCTCCTGTAATTGGAGCCCGCATCTACAGGAGCAGGGGACCAGTCCAGGTCATCCCATTCTTCAGTTTGGCGTTCAGTGCGATACCGGTCAGAATCTTCTAGTAGTAGCTCTACCAGTTCGACAAGTTTCGTATTGCGAGCCTCAGAATTGACTTCTTCTTTATTAGCTAGCAGACCTGTAACGATGATGCGGACCGCATCTTCTCGAGTGCATAGATACAGCTGCAGAGAATAAGCTACTCGGTCCAAGAGTACTCTCGAGTGATCTAATTTGTGAAATGTCCGGATCATGGCAATATACGTCCGGAGAATATCTAACGTTGAGCGCCCGGCGTGTAGTAAACGTCTCTGTAGGGTGGATGAGAATGCATCTGTGAGCTGCAATCGTCGTTGAGGCGTTGTAATTGCGTAGCGAAGATCATCGATCCCGCCTTCGCTATTTGGCCAGCTAATAACAATGTCGAAGAGCTCGTCGATTCGAAGCGCCGCAAGCCGCCCGACAGCAATCTCTTTCCATTTCTCTACATCCGACCAGTTGATTTGTATGCCGCTACCGAGTCGGCTGGTAACTTCCACAGCTAATCTCGCATATTGATTCTCAACCCAGTCCAGGAGCTCTTTAATACACTGCGGCTGCATTCTAATACGGGCTGGAAGACGTGCTCCCGTCTTTAAGTCGTCATTGGGACCCCATACTCCCGCAAAGGTCTCTCGAATATAGGCGATCATCATCCCGTCGAGGAGTTCCGCAAAGAGGATCTGAAACTTTTCGCCGGCAAAGCCGACATTGCATAGTGATTCTACTAGCTGGTGCAACTCCTTTCTTGCCTTATCTACCTTGTCGGGGCCTATAGTCACCTGCTTACCCCGACCCGGTGCATGAGATACTACTCCTACACCAAGTAGCGTCTTCATCAGCTGGCCAAGGGTCGATCTTAGAGCATTTATCATAGCATTAGACATAGAATTTCCAACTATCGCATGTAGATCACGTTGGAATTTCATGAGAGCAAGGTCTGCAGGCTCTTCTTCCATAGCCCGAAGAATTAATGACAGCCCGAATAGATACTGCCTATTCGCAGCTTCCAGAGTCCGTATACTACCTAGCAGGACCTGTGTCTGGTCCGAGTAGCCATCACAGACAGATAGTAGTGGCAGAACATGGCTCACAAAATGGTGTCGAACCTGCTGCGTATGCCAAGCAAGGATATTCTCGGTACGAGTGGCAAGTGGGAGACGCACAGTCGGACTTAAGACGTCGCGGAGTGCGTCCCGGAACGCGCCGTCGTCGGCATCCTGCGAATTCGGCAGGGCCCCGAACGAATCCTCGGCGGTAACGGAGGGTGGGAGCGCAATGCGGGATGTAACCACGTGCCAGGACCGGTCAAAGCGGGTCTGCTGTTGTGCGTGGGATTTCTCTTCGGGCGAAGTCAGCAAAAACTGGGAATCGGTGGCTTTCTGGGGCGTCTGGGTCAAAGGGCCCCCAAAAGTCTGACTCTGACTTTGGCCAGGGAACCGCAGCGACGAAGTAGAATACGGTGTAGGCTGAGACACATCAGTCTGAAAGACAGATTGGATGGCGTGTCTTCTTCGCGCGTTCCACCTAGTATCAGTATCCGCAGTCATCTCGTCTCGTTGCTATTGTCGTCAGTGGACAACTATAGATGAGAATTTAGCTGATACATCGATGTACGGTGTACACCATAACCCCCCCCCTTGGCGAATATAAAAACACACGCGATAAGACAAAACAAAAAACACTTGGTATGGAGCCTGTAAGAATTATTTTTAGCGGTTGAGAGAGCGTTACCTCTTAGTCGTCGCGTCGTTTAGGCAGCTAGTCTCGTATGTAGTAGGTAATTTCGAGTTAAGGGCTGACAAGGTTCAATCAGCTTAGGCAAAATCAATTGTTATGGAGTCTTTGGGGCAGTTTAGGTAGGCGGTGAAAAGGCATTGCTGTTGCCCGCGGCTATTGCTATTTCATCATTAGGTGCGATCATCTTAATGGTCTGTGCACTATTATAGTGTACTATGTAGGTAGTACTTAGATACGTCATGTACATAGGTACAGTGCCATGGACTGGTCTGTTATCAGCTTGTATTACAGGGTGCCTCGCGCGGCTGAAGCGTTTATCGCAACATCCTCTCGCATTACCCATCCGCACCCCCAACCGTACACTTATAATCACCTTTTAACCCTAGAGCGTCTTAGCGTACTATAATTTCTTTCGCCGATACGGATGTCGTATTGGTATATGCTAGGTACCTCCTATGTATGCAGGACATTGGCGAGGGTATTAAATGTGTGTAATACTAATACATACGTAGCTAATGTTAAGAGGTATGTAAAGGTTGTCTAACAAGGATGTAAATAACATAGATGCACTAGCGATAAGGCCCTGTGATCGACATTCTACTTATGCTCGTTAAGCTTAATCTAAAAACTTAAAAATATCTGACGAAATTAGAATGCCTGCTCTAATGCTCTCTCTCCCCTTGAGCCCTTAAAAGCTTCTGATACCATCTTTTAATAACTACCAGCATATCGGGACTAAGGAGAATTCTGGGTGTAATTAAACTCGTCCAGAGTTTACACACACACGGGGTTCGAAGAGGGGAAATCATACGCTCGCCACCCCCCCTGGCCCTCCCCTCTTCTCCAACTATGGTGCTATGGTGAGCGAAGAGGGCGATTCTGTTTGACTGCGGCGTTGACGAATAGCGAGCCCGTCCTACGCTGCATGCAAGTCGCATTGCGGGCAAGAAACGTGCTGCGGGGGCACACGAATAGAAACCACGCATCGAGTCGGCCGGTCAGCGTGGCCACGCACCGCTCTAGCGTTACTACGGCGCGACGGCGCCTCAAAGGTACTCACAAGTATTTCCTAGCTGCTGTGATATTGTGTACGTCGACTTCCCCCCTCCCCCACCCGCAACATGAAACTAGGTACGACGGCGCAGATCTGTCAGACGCGAGCCATACGGCCTTACTGCGTAAAAAGCTAGGCGTAAGGACGGCTGATTGAGTAAGATAATTTAGGGCTGACATAGGCGGTTGCGCAAAGCCAATCTGTCCCGCCTTTGTGAATACATACCTAGGTAGTAATAAGTTAGATATCGTTTAGTGATACCGGCCAATTTTGGGTAAACAATACGATTGGTTGTCGTTTGGATGTACTACATAGTGTCTCGCCATACGACGCCTCTCTATATTTGTCGCCGCGTACATGCGTCTGCGTGAATTATCCTTTTCCTGTTTAGGAAGCGTTTGATATATCGTACCAAGTTTACACCAAGTGTAAATCATGAAATTCGTGACAGCTGCCCGAAGTCTAGGCCGGCTACTTTGTACACTTGACCAGCAGCTGCTCAGCTCCTTCAAGGTACGGATATGTATAGTAAGCGCAGAAGACGCAGGAGAATGTTCTTTTGGTTACATTCGAAGTCAAGCTAGCACTCGCCTCCCACGTTTAACCTGCAGCTTTCACACGTGTAGGTCAGGTGGTTTGGAGCACGTTGGACCGGGGCTGTCTGCAAGCTTTAAAACCTGACAAGGCCTTGCAGTGTAGTAATCACCACCCATCTAGAACTGTTTCAAGAGCTGCACTGCAACCAAAGCAGCTCTTGGTGGTGTAGTTCGCAAGACCGCGTGGTTAGTCGCCAACGGCCACTCCGTAAATCCAGTACTATGTACTTTTAGTTGGTACGTGTCGGCTACGTCTTCCGTCGTACGTCCCGAAGAACCCGATCGTACCTAGCTCTCCGTCAAGCGATGCGGCGCGGGAGCATGTTAGTGCGTAACTAGTGCACGGTTCAGTCGTATGGTAAGGTTAATCGAACAATAATTCCAATATTGGGTTTGAAATTACATAGCTCGCAAAACTAACCTGTCGTTCATCCGAATCCGAATCGGCGATACACTACGTGCTGTAAGTATACGGCGCAGCAGTGATGTTATGATTTACAGCTCAGGACATAACGGGCGAGATTGACGCTGGCTTAAGATTGCTCGATGTATCGGTAACATCGTCTTGCCGGCCATTGCAGCACTCGGAAGGCGTTTATTAAGTTCCTTTCTTGGCACATATAGTTCGGGACCGACCGAGACATCATATCTATAGCTTTGTAAATGTTCCTTGCGACCGAAAATCTATGTCGAAACGCTCTAGAGGTCCATGTGGTATTGCAGTTGCAAAATAAGAATAACTATACTCTAACATCTGTATGTTTTGGCCTGTGAGGGATTTCTCCGTTGGGGTGGTGGGAGATGGGAATAGGTACCGGTCAATAGCCGTTGACGCAATTGCACCACTATGGTATCTATCCATCGTCTTGAGATAAGCATACTATCCCGGCTATCGATGGGGGTACGCAAGGGCGACATCCGCTGAGGCTCGTAAGTCCATCATACGGAGATAATTGCGTACCCCACGGCCCCCAATGCTTCGTGAAACCGTCCGCGGCCTGCGGTGCTGCGGAGTGTCTGACACTGTGAGATGGTGACACGACTTATCAAACCGGTCGTCTGGTAATGACCTACCTTTTAACTCCTAGATCGATATACTGTTTCTAGTATCTGCTTTATATACGCGCATGGCTATTCCTAGTATGTTTTCTACCGTGGTCCACGGCAGCTGGGATGCTTGCCTCTTTGATAGACTAGGTAGGTAGCTTTGCAAACTCGCAAAGGAGATAAGACAGATAGCTATAGCGAGCCTCGGCTCGCCCCCAACTTCGTTATTACAGTTGTACAGACCTGAGACCTATACACCGAGCAAGAGTCGGACAATTTGGATTGGGCGGTCATCGGAATTAAGGAGAATACCCGTTCCTATTCGCGGAAATTCGTACTCGGTTAGACCCTGACATCATCTTTTGCAATTAAGAGTGCTCTCGCTCAGTCAAGGGTAGAAATTGTTGACAATTGTACCATGGCCTGCGAGACCGCCTCGCATACCTTTTACCGGATTAGGTGTTTAAGCAGCCGATTCATATCCACTTCTTGCTTATCATCCAATAAAATTAAGCTCATTGCACAGACATAGTCGCTATGCTATTGACGTGCTCATAATAACAAGTCCGCCCAGGGCCAGGATTCCGGCGCGGAGTCCCAATGACCGCGTTCGATGTTAAGTCAAGGGTCAGTATACAAAGAGAGATATTCGACGGCGCAGTTCTAGGCGGAGATAATAAGACTGGATCGTCGGCTAGAATCAAACTTTCGCGATGTTTGGATTGAAGTTTGAATCTCGGGATTTGATTGTGGATAATAGTTTAACATTATGATTGTTGTTCATGGTAGAAAGATTGAATACCTACCGTCTGACCAGCTGGACCCATAATTGCGTGTACTACCACTGGTCTAGATGATTATTTTGGTGGGTCTCACTCGTGCTGTCTCTTATCAACTAACCCGACAAATTCGTCGGGGTATGTTCAACGTTTGGTAGGACAATGCTTAGAGATCGTTTGGTTAGTTTCTACAGACCAAGCCATTGGTTTGACTTTCTTTGCTCTTAACTGCTAGACTATTTTCGGATATGGATACCGAGCAAGCAAGTTGTTAGACCTCGTGACGCTGACAATGCAAACATCCGCCCGGCTTTCCGGTCTTCTAAACAAATATCCGCTGATGTATAATCTTGAAGTAGGTTATCAATTTGGGTTGGGGTTTTATGTTGTGGGGAGATAAACTACTGTATCAAGTTTAATATTATTTCTCTTTCGCTATGTAAGGTACGCATCCTTGGGCTTTCCTTAAGAACGTAAACTTACTAAACCTAACCGGTATACCCTGTTTTAGTGGAGGTAGGGACTTATTTATTTATACATACACGTTACCCACGATGGATTCAAGCTTGAACTTAAATCAAGGCGATCCACATGGCATTTCATTCACGGAAGGAGCCTTTAGGTTAAGCACTAACTAAGCCCTGCATGTCGACGTTGTGGATTATGTAAGGGTTAGAGCTACTAGCTCCGTACCGAGGGTACCCGATGATGCAAGTCTCCGCTTTATTAAATAGTCGCCGTCCTCAAAAACTCTCATCCTCACAAAATACATGTACACTTTACAAGTTCGTCGCAATAGGAAAAGAAGTCCCCGGGATCTGCAGAACGAGAACGAGAAAGGACAGCTTCCATGATCTGCTAAACCAAGGAACCATCCATACAATCGGTGCACATGCTCTATCGAAAACGTAGCAACGATCGTCTCCTCAATCAATCTGAAGACCAATGCCGTAGCTCGCAGCCTGCTTCTATTTCTGGCAGCATTGCACACAGACATTCATGGCACATGGCTTTCTCCCCTGCACCCCTGGTTCCCCGGTCAAGGCTGTGCTCGCATCGCTTCTTCTCCAACACAAAGTCCACAGTCTCTCCAGGTTCCAACAGACGGTCGGGTAGTATCGTATCCGAGCGTTTTCGAGGGGATCATTGGTTCCCGCGACCATTTTGTTTTATCAAATGGTACTCTACGTAATGTAAGCATTCTGCTTACTTGACGATGCACCCACGTAGTCTATCTACATAACCTACGTAAGGTATGTAAGTACCTACCTACCTAGGTAGCTTACTTTAGTGATGTAATTTTTGTATAGAACACGGCATTGAGATTCGGCCGATCCCACCGCCCGCCAGAAAGCCATGCGTCAAGATCTGGGGCCCCTGTTTGGTGTATCTGACGCTGCAGAACAAAAGCTACATTGTTTGTATCACGCCTTTACGTTTACGTACCTGTGTATAGTTGAACGAGCCAACCCCGTCGCTATATCGCGCTACACCAGAAAGCTCGGCTCTCCATTTCTGACTGCCCGTCTACTAAACCATTCGTCAACTATACGAAGCGGCATACGTACGATGGCATCAGTTAATTGGCGGGGGGAGCTACCGAAGAGCTTGAACGAGCTTTTGCTTTATTAAAACGGGCGCGCGA